ACACAGAGAGTCACCACAACCAAAAATCAGTATTGTATCTGTATTTGAGAAAAATGCGTCATGCAAATGGAATTGAAAGGATCACGAGTCAAACAACTGACATCAGCATTTTTTCAAAAATGATCTTTTAATCAGAATGGAGCAAAAATATTTCAGTCTACGTCACGCATACGTCATTTCAAATTGTACATTGCTGTTCCAAGATTATCCATACCAAATTGCGCAGTTGACTGGTTTTTAACATCGTCTTTCCAACAATATAAAAAGAGAACACCATTTGAAATATTAGTCAACAGCAAATTTTAATCACAGGTGGCTTCGGTGTCCCTAAACCAATTTTTGCCATTTTTTTAGCCCATCGTCCTTAATGCCAGCATTTAAAAAATCTAGAAAAGTTCACTTGCTTCTCTGATTAAAAAAAAAAAAAAAAACACAAAAAAATGTGTTGACCAGCGTAATGTGAGCCTAGCGTGACTGGCCAAGTCATTCCTAACTTAGAGTCACATTTTCCATAAATAAACATTCTTTATGTTTGTATACATTGTCAAACAACCAGGTCATCTGGCAAAGGTTGAATTAAGGAAACTGGACTTTTGTGGAAGTTGTTTTTTACTGTCTGAAAACTTCCCAAGAATTACGCCATTCTTACACTACTCTTATTTTGAACTTTATGCTTCATGTCTATGTCAGTATTGAGTCATTGGTATGAATCTGTGATTACATGAGAGTGTAATGTGAAGTTTGGAAAAAGCCCCTTCTTCTGAATACATTTAAGTGTCATTCAGTTGGAACACTCAAGCCACAACAAATTAGCCACCGGGTGATTCAACATTGATGGCGTGGAACAGTTGCAGATGAGCAGCTTGCTTCCTGCGAGGTGAGTCTCGTCACAGTAACATTTGTGCAAGTGTGTGTGTGGCATACATTCATCTTTTATGAGTGACGTTGACTTGTTGATTTCGAGCCAAGACAAACACGTGAATCGCCCCGCTTACATTGGAATCATCTGCTACGTGATTTACGAGATCACGTTTAAACCTGATCTTTTTTTCGCCCCCTCCTCAGTTTTTGTTGCGCTCCGAATTTAACGACTTTTCAAGGTTTCTTCAGAGGCAGTTGGCTCTGTAAGCACAGTTGTTTATAGAGAGTAAAGGCATTTCATGACCCTGCTTCCCCCTGACGTCGTGATAATGAGTATATGTCAGTGCCCTCGCTGTGATGTGATCCCCGGGCGGCAATGAAAACTCTCATCTTGCATAACAACCATGAAACTTCGCCCCCTCCTCAGTTTTTGTTGCGCTCCGAATTTAACGACTTTTCAAGGTTTCTTCAGAGGCAGTTGGCTCTGTAAGCACAGTTGTTTATAGAGAGTAAAGGCATTTCATGACCCTGCTTCCCCCTGACGTCGTGATAATGAGTATATGTCAGTGCCCTCGCTGTGATGTGATCCCCAGGCGGCAATGAAAACTCTCGTCTTGCATAACAACCATGAAACAGTTGGAGACTCACACAGCCATCACCTCAGAGTCTTATCATTACCTCATAGCAATAAAATGATTTATCAAGCTTTTTTTCTTGGGGGGTGGACATGGGGGGGCAGAAAAAATAGAATGCTTTTTGGCTGAAACAGAAAGAAAACTATTTAGCTTTGGAATTAGTGACATCATGAGAGGGGAATGAGTTGATCTATTTATCATTCATGGAAAAACTTGAAGGGATGGAAACAGAGCCGGAGTGGGACTCCTTTTTAGCCCTGGATTTTCAGGGCTCAGACCGACCCACTTAAGTTCACCACCTTTGAATGAAGATACCACACTTAACAAGGGGCCTTGTTAATGTAACATGCTAAAATAGATTATGCTCTGACGAGATTATACATATTGCATTTGATCAAAAATCACATTGATAAGTGAATGTGCTACCAGATTACGATCAGTGTTTATTTGAAGAAATGTGAGAAAGTAAATAGTTAAAATGGGCAAAAGGACAGAGCAACAGGCAAGCATGCATACATAATATTGGATCAGACATTTTACACTGAACAAGGCAGATTCAGCAAACGGCGCAAGATTAAGGCAGTTGACACCACACTGCCTGTTTGCGCGCTTATTTTAAAATCTATCCACGCCACTTCTGGTGCACTATTTAACGGACTGGTGCTAACTTGTACACGAGTGACTGTGTTATGCCTCTTTAACGTGTTATTTTGTGCAGACAAGGTCATATAGTTACAGTGTGAATGTTTCCAGCGCCGGATTACATTTTTGCTCCATTTGATGTCAAATTATTGTGACATGGTGACACCCTTGGTGACAAAGGTAGGCGGTCTTTGCTCTATATAATTTAACGGCCAGCCTGTAGCATCAGTCATACAATCGTGTGACAAGGTGATAGCCGGATTCAAGTGTTGTGGATGCAGGTGGGCCCGAGCAGTCTATGTTGCAGCCCGGCCCAGCGAACGTCCACATTACTTTTATTGTCCTCAATAAAAAAAATTTAAAAAAAAAGGCATTCAGCCAACATGTTGTAATCATCCAAACCATCCTAAAGCAAACATTATTCCAGAAGAAATGTGTTGCAAAAGCAGAAGAAGCATCCCTCCTGGTTTCTGCCGCATGCAGATGTTAAGCCAGACTCAGGACTGTGAATTTAAGGGAGTGGTCATCATTGGAATTTGATTCCCGCCCCCATTGTCCCACAAGAAATGTTTCCAGTCACTTTCCGCTTCCATCGAGGCTGAAAAATGTCTCAAAGCGCCATCTCGAAGTTTCCTTAGCGGAAAGACTCTCCGTTCCACGGAATCTGGCTTTCCTTTTTGTTAAGAAACCGAAACGCAATCTTCTACCCTTTTTGTTTCAGCCAGCTGCAAGCATCCTCATGGTGACTCACTAAAGTTCTGAAAGTTTGGATCAGGGAGCAAGACGGCAACTGTGGGGTCCAGCCCGTCTGGAGGTAAGAGAGAGGAGGTGGTGGGGGGGCCACAGGAGGCAGTTACAATCAGAGCCAGACAGCCTGGAATGCCGCCAAACCTTGGAATGACCCCCCCCCCATCTCATCGCATATCCCAACATTTGTCAGCCTGCCTTTGTACTTCCCTTTCCATCGTTCTTTCCACACCTCCCTCCTCTTCAACCCTCAATCGCCACTACCTGCTCGTTTTATCCCACTGCCCCAATCCCATCCTTTGAGGAAGCCACAGTAAAAGGCTGAAAATCCTCACACCTGACTTGCCTGCACGATAATATCATTCAGAAATCTGCTCATTTAGTCATCAAACAGAAATTCCGGGCATACTCCAGACAGGATGAGGACCTGCCTACCTGAGAACATGGAAACAGTTCTCTGCTGCCAAACTGGCTCCCATTCAAACGCTACTACCCCCCCCCCCCACACACACACACACACACATTAACTGCACTCCCGGCTTCCACCAGTTGGTGTCAGGACAGGCGCATAAGTGGTGCGCCGCGCAGCCAGACAAAACTGCCTTGAGGGAATCAGTCCCCCCAGATTTTCTTTCTGACAGCAAGTACATCAAGATCAGTTGGAAATGAGATAAAAGACGGCAGGGAGTGAATCCAATGAGGTTCTGACGTGGCCGATAAAGAGCGCTATGTACAGCAATGAGGAGAATGGGCAGCAAAATAGGCCTCACAGTTGATAAGCAGTGGAGTGGTGGTCCAGACGAGGACATTTGAGGCAGGAGGGAAACGGTGCGTGATTGCAACGGTGGGGGAGAGAGATCTGAAAATAATAGAGGAGAGTCGGGAACTCCATGTGCACAACATTTGGGCTTGTGGAGGTGCTGGGGTGGGCAAAAATAAACTCGTGAGAGCAGACTGCAAAGCACACATCTGTATCTCCAACTATAGCCTCTTTCACACATAGATCCAGCATAATTGCAGCGTTAGACGCATAATGGTGGGCGTTTATTCGCCTGTGCCGTTGACACCAAAATGGGTTATTGTTGCACATGGTACCTTATGCAATCAAAGTAGTACATTCTTCCCCCGCATGATCATTTGTTCACTTTGGAACGATGTGGCAACACTTTAGCGCTGTGCCACAACGTGCCAGGCAGCATGAAGAACTCGTGAAAGAAATGCAGCGAGCAAGAAGAAGAGGCAGAGAAGGTCCACTCTATCACTATTGTAATACCTCTACTCATTTCCATTAGCCAGCCTGTGGTCTTTCGCATTTGTACGTTAGCATTGAGTTAACGCACTTGCGTTAGCTGAAATTCTATAGCTCGGTTGAACATTTTGATTGTGTGTGTTCAATAAACATCTCGATGCCAGGATGCTTCGTCTCTTATTCGGAGAACTATGCGAGCGTGAATTGAATTTAAATGTGTTTCAAGTATGTTAGAGAAATAAAACGATATTCTCATCCCACAATAACAGTCCCGGCGGGTGAAGTTGAACGTCTGACACTCCTTTTTCTGGCTCTCTGTTGTGTTGAAAGCAATTGTGACTGTCTGTATAAATTGCTAGGATAAAAAAAATAAAAAAAGTCCCAAGTGCTGTTCTGACTGATGGCCCAACGGCACGACCTTGATACCACCCTCAAAGGCAACAAATTTCTCCACACGTCCATCATTCCACGGCAGTGCAGCGGCATGGAAAAAATGCAGTGTAGAAAAGGCCACTAAAGTTTCCCAGTGCCCCTTTTTCATGACAAATCAATACCCCCCCCATTTGCCTTCATCCACTTCAATATGGCTTTTCCCTAAAAAACAAACCATGCAGCATTCCTACTAATCCTCCTCTCTTCTCCACTTGCCTCTGCTCAAGCTCTAAAGCTTCATCCACCACTTGTGTTTTCTCTCTCCAGAAGTACAGCCCAATTTAGCCCCCCCCGCCCTTTCCTGCACCTCCCGCCCCCCTCCTCCAGGCCACACACACACACACACACACACACACACTCAACTAACTTTGTGGCTCCTCTCGGGGCTAATGTGTAACACGTGACTCTAATTAACACGTACTGTAACAGTTTGAGTCGTGCGTGCGAATGCGGATGAAAAATAAAGGTGACATTTAGAAGGCCGTGTCGGTGACTGGGATTGTGTTTAAACCAGCTGCTTTCTTCAAGAGAAAGCCAGCTTTTGGGTTGACCCATATAACAGACATTTACGTATATCTGCTCGCGTATCTTTCGAGTGCGAGAACCAAGGTGCATGAAATGAGTTCACCCGGAAGCAGATGGACGGATGGCGACGGCTCCATGGAAGTCGATGATTACGGGAATGAGTCACATGAGATGAAATCAAACAGGAGCATTTGTCATTTAAATTCAGTGTCGCATCGTCGCCGCAGCGCCGCTGACGGTAACGTGATAGAAGTCGTCTGAGTCACTTTTGTGTCAAGGCGCGTGAGCGAGAGTTGCGAAGGCGTGCGCAAACATGGCGGTGTGGCGGGAGGCCTCTGTGTGTGTGGGGGTGGAGGGGCATGCATCACGGGCGAGATTAGTGTCAAGAATGTCTTCCCTCTGTGGTTGACCTCGCGTCGCATTGAAGGTCCGTGGCACAGATCACCACGTTGTCACACAGGTGCGTCGCATGCATGCCCATGTGGGTGCGAGTGGGACCATTCTTCTGCTCTGGCTAATGTAAAAAAAAAAAAAAAATCGCTACGCCATTGCCCAATAGGTTCAGTTTCTATTTCAATGGTCGGTAGCACGGTGACATCGTGGTTAGCACATACGCAGAATGTTGAGCGGAGAGCGCCGCGATCCTGAGCCAGATGAAAGAAATAGCCGGGCTGCTGGAGGTAACAATCACCTTCCTCGGGAGCAATCACAAATATCAGAGGACTATTGTTTTGAGCAGAGACTGACCTCTGCTGCAGCCTGGCCTGATCTCCGCCCGAGCGGGCGACCAACAAAAAGATCCATCACGTCTATATATAAACCGCAGCGCGCGGATTGGCTGGATTATGTATGATTGATGTCGGGAGCTGCACACATCCACCGTAAAGCCTTTTCTTGTCTCGCCACATCCCCACCAATGTATTTCATTTTTAATTATCTGTTTCATCAGCCTGTTCTGACGAGAATGTTGCAGGATTTTGTACTCTAAGTAATGCCGAGGCCATATTTGGTGGGGAAACAACGCCCCCTAAATCTTCACTCAACAAAAATAGCCTCAGATTTAAAATTTTTTTAATTTTTTTTTTTTTTTTTTATGAGCTGCACTGCAAAATTGAATGCTTTGTCCATGTACACAAAAGGCCACTTTCTCCAATATAATCGGCCTAAATCTGTGTAAGTGAGCACATCTCCTTTGCCGAAATAATCCATCCTCCTCACACGTGCGGCATATCAAAATGCTGATTCGACAGCATGATGATTGCACGAGTGTGCCTTCGGTTAGTAGCCCCAAATAGTCCCGAATTGAACCGAACACACATCATTTCACACGGCGAGGGCCTGACCGATTAATTGGCCGATATTAGGTCCTTTAAAATCTGCAAAAAAAGTCAACCCCCCCCCTCTCCCCTCAAGATTCTAGTTGTTTGTTAATTTTTTTACACATTAGCACATTTCAATATAAGGCAAAGAAAATGACATTCAAGCCCCTCCCTAACAAACATTTTTTGGTCTGATTTTTCTTCTGTTGCAATGTTAAACTCATACAAAAGGACAAAGTCATGCAAAATAAGGCAAATGTTCCACCTATAATTCATATAATTAGGCGGTTGTCAGCGTTAAGGGACCAAAAAGCAAGTTATTTTTATTCGGTATACATTTTTTAAATTCATCGTACGGTGAATCGGTGAACGGAATTTTATTCTGACAAATACTGGCCTCAAATAAACAGCTTCTCTCTCTCTCTCTTTATAGGGGTGGGGGGCATGTCCCCCACACGCAGTCTCCACAGCTCTCCCTCACTCGTCTCAAGTCTTCCATCCTTCTTTTTCTCTCAGTCCTCTCCCCATCTGTCCCACTCGTGTACTTTGCCCTCATCCCTTCTGGGCCACGCTCACAATGTGGCTGACCACACACATGCGCCCTCCTCCACACACTTCATCTTCTCACTGTCCAGACTGTGCTTGTGTCATTCCATGCACACCACGCACGCACGCGTGCATTTGTCATCTCCAAGAGAAGAGGGCAAGACGGGCACAAAATAAAATGGGACGGGGAGGCGGTGGGAGGTGGGGGAGTGGGGGGTGCGACGAACTAAATTGTAGGTGTCGTGTTGGCGTTGGAAGAGGGAGATTGAGGATGTTGGCCGGCGTGTACCAAAAGCAAGAGAGTGATCAATGGAAGGAAAACCCTTCTTTGTGCACGTGTGCGTGTGTGTGTGTGTGTGTGTGTGTGTGTGTGTGTGTGTGTGTGTGGGTGTTTTGCAGGGTCCCGGGATTTCTAACGGTGTATTCATGAGGAGAGATGGAAACAGCCGCTGTGCATTGTCAGAGAGAGAGAGAGAGAGAGAGAGAGAGAGAGAGAGAGAGAGAGAGAGAGAGAGAGAGGAACCCCCATTTTAGCTCAATAATATGACAGCAAGCAGCGCAGCGATCTCCACAACAATGGCAGCTCTCGGCGTTGCGCTATTGATCCCCGCTCGCGGCAACCTCACACGCACGCACCCGGTCAATCCACAATGGTTGTTTTTCCTCACACATGAAATCGCTTCGCCAAAATAGTTGCAAAATACAGCGGCGAATTAGAGGATGGAAACTTGCCGGCGAGATGGATGATGATGTGAATGACCACTCGCGTTTTTAATGTGGTCGTTTATCGCTTCCAGGCATACTGACTTACTAACCGGATCTAAGACACTGCGCCGCACTGGGGAGACAGACAGAGAGCGAGAGAGAGAGAGAGAGAGAGAGAGGGAGAGAGAGAGAGGACGGACGAGTGGCCAGGCAAGCGCAGGAGCGAAAGAGAGAGAGAGAAAGCGCAGGAGGAGGGGAGGAAAAAAAACATAGCGAAGAGGAAGAGAGAGTCGCAGGAGGAAGAAGGAGAATGCACGGCGTCGGGCGAACTCTTCCATGCTTGTATCCAGGGCCTTTGTGAAGACACCATGGGATGCATTGGCTCCAGGAGACTGAGTAAGCACCACTTCTGTCGCTCGATCATTGCAGGGGAAAAAAAA